ACTGCATATATTCGTAAGTATTGCAAGAAAAAAATAAGTTTTGCAAACAAAAATAAAGAACTGCAAAATATAAATGAAGTATTGTTAGAAAAAAATAAGTTTTGCAAATAAATATAAATGAAACAGAGCAAAAGCAATGATTTTGCAACACATACTTTCCATGGCCATAGCTAATAATTTATTTGCAAAGCTGCTTTTATTTTGCGTTTCAGTCAAGTGTGAGCTCGCGATACCATTTTTCCCTTTGCGCTTCATGTTTCTGCGCGTTTCACTTTCTGGCATTGTTTTGACATGGGGGTGGAGTCAAGGGACTGGGGCGTGTACAACAGGCCTGGACACGCCTCCCTGGCGTCATCGGCCTGAGATGCAGATCACAACTGATGAAGGCACCGTCGTTGGGCAGAGGCATGCAGGTGGATCGTTTCCTTTTATTCACTAGCATTAAAACATGCATGGTTTCGTTTTATTAATTATGTGTATTAACAGCATTTCATTTACATTTATATTTATATTTTGCAATTCTTTATTTTTGTTTGCAAAACTTATTATTGTCTCACAATACTTCATTTATATTTTGCAACTTTTTTTCTCGCAATACTTCATTTTCTTTTGCAATTCTTTATTTTTGTTTGCAAAAAGCACATTTATGTTTTCTCAATACTTTCATTTTTTTGTTTGCAAAACTTTATATTTTCTTTTGCAATACTTCAATTCCTTTGCAAATAGCCGATATGTGGCATTGAATTGACTCCATACATAACGCATTACAAGCATATTAAGGTCGAGTTTTGAATCTCCCATTGAGTTATGGTGATAAATTTGGGTCCTTGATTGGTCTATGAACACAAATAGCCAACTGAAACAGATTTGGTAAAGTTATGCCATTTGAATGAACCGACAAACAGAAGAAGCATATAATTTGTAATGCACATTTTTGCATTGCATTAAAAAATAGAAGCATTTTTACTTGACTCATACTTTGGATCCTTATTGACATAAATGCTCAGTTCTGAAATCATGCTCATGCACTCTGGGAGTTTGTGTGAAGAATCTATAACAAGCTCCCGTTCTGTCAGCACAGCCACAATTCAGCCTGAAACATCTGCACATCTATACACAGAATCTCATGTAGCGTGCGATGGCAAAATGTAATCATGTTCTAAAGATATTTCACTTTCAAGTATCAATTCATGAACTCCACTGTCCTTGATTGAAAATGTCCTTTCTGGCTGAACAGGAAACATGTAAGACCACGTGCTTTTCCCAAAGAGATCAGTGAGGTCAAATAGCTCATGTGCTTTCACTTCTGTAGTGCGCTTTGCTGCGTCTGCATGTTTTTAACCCTACTGTATTATATCTGATGCATGAATTTCTCCTCTAAAGGCCACAATCTACTGCATGCCTTCTGTTGTCTGATTGATGGTTAATTTTTCATAATAAAAGGTGTTTCGGTATAATTTTTAAAACGTCCCCTTTCAGGCTGTGGTTCATGTGTTTTTTGCTGTGAAATTTGTAATTATTTTTATAAACCAAACATAAGAAAAACATTAGTAATATTTCAAGATGAACATTTACTTGACTGAAGCAACTTATAGGTTTACTAGATTAGATTATCTAGTCATCTTTTATCTTTTTTCTTTTAAAATCATGTTTAATTACAGATTTCAATTATGATACATCTGGAATATTATATTTGTACATCTCTCAATCATCATTGCATTGAATGATATGTTTTGTCCCCAACAATAAAAACTACAGAGCTTTGATCATAAAACTAAGCAATTAAATATCATCTTACTATTGAAAGATATAGAATGACAACTGATATTTCTAGAATTTGAAGTAAGTAGTCTGCTATATTGTTATAAAGATCTACATTGATTTACAAATACAAAACATAAAACACATCTTCTTCTCCTTTTTTTTTTGTTTTTTTAGATTTTCACTTAGTTTCACTTAAAATACATACACATTTTTCAGACTATTATTTTCAGGGTATTATTTTCAGCTTTACAGGGTTAAATCCTGGGTTATGATCCCTTGCAAATGTAGTGTTAACTCCAAAGTGTGGTGTTGAAGGTAAAGGGGAGATCAAGGCTTGTTGTCACAAGAGCTATATCTCAGTATTATGACAATTTTTGACAATAATTTGTTACCATTTTTACAATTTTGCCGAAAAGCAAATTAAATATTTAATGGCAGGTTCCCATTGTGATCTAACTGAATCTCATAACTTACTCTAAATAATGTCTATATAATGTGACAACATTCCCCAACTTTAGAGTATGTTGTCACATGTGAAACAGACTTTAAAAATAAACATAAACTGAGAAATATTCTCTGAAATATACTGTGCTACTAACCCCGACAAAAGTTTGCCTGATGTGAAAACAGAGCAAGATAACCCATGATTACACTAACTCAGGATTAAAAATGACCCTGGGTTAACAATTCCAAGTGTTAAAAGACTTTAATGGGTTCCACGACCCCTTCTCCTTCAAGCTAAATGATGCATTATACTATCATAGCACCAGAACAGATTCCCTCTGCATTTCACTGGTGTGATCAGCTGCAGCATTGGTGTGCTCAATCAAAACGCATAGCCTTTTAGACTAAAGCATTACAGATCAGCCACAGCTTGATGCAGATAGTTGCTCCTGTTCAGGACAGTGGCACTTCAGCCAAGTTAACATTACATAACATGCTGTTGGAAGGGTGGAGATCCAGACCGGAGAGAGTGCTATCCATGGTGCTGGACTCTGCTTGCCAAAGCATCCTAAATTAATCATCAAAGAGGTCGCTGCCCTCCCGCACTACTAGGTTTTCAAGGTGTACATAATGAATGAGACTAATAATTCAACCAATCCCTGCTTAGTAACTATGTTTTTGAATATACTAGCTGGCTTCTAGGTCCAAGATGGTTTTTACCTAGTCTAGCATGGCAATTGACTGGTTTACTAGTTCCTAAAACTAGCCTGACCCCCTTGAGTTGGTATGATTAGCTATATGTTGCTGGTTTAGACCAGCCTGACCAAACCTAATGACCACTTTGGACCATCTTGGACCAGGAAAATACTAGTTTGGCTACCTTGGGCCAGCTATAAACCAGCTATCACATTCCAAAACACAGCAACCATCTTAAGATGGATTTTCCAGCATGAAATCACTTGCTTTATAAATGGAAACTATCAGATATATGGCGAATTGTACACTAGCATGCAAGGTAGGGATAAATCCTCAGATACAGCTCCGATATTTTACCACATACTGACTGTTTTTAAAGAAAAATCGTAGGTTTGGTGCATTCATGCTGCATCTTACGCCTCCGTTGTCAAGGAGAGGCGTCTTACCTGCGCCGAAGCCGTGCGGGACACCAAGTACATAGCCGACAACAGGGTCAACATTTTCAAGCAGTTCGTCCCTCGAAGTGTCCGATGGAGTGTGTTTTTTCCCCCAGAACGCAGAAGTGGGTGTTTTGGGACGCGTTCAGACGCAGAGCGACGTTCGCGGTAACCTGAGCTCAAAGGCGCGAGACACAAGAGCCGCGTCCCTCGTGCGCGTGCTGTGTTTTCACCGTCACCCTTCCGCACCTAATGAGCTTTGGGAGACAAAAATAGCTCGACATCGAGTAATCTTTCCGCCATTTCTGATCACACGTCTAAATTAATGAGGTAGCGATCGGGGCTGCGAAATTTGGGGGTGACGTCAGTCAGGGCCGTTTCTAGGCATAGGCGAGCTAGGCGGGCGCCACCAGCTGAAGGGGCGCCAATGAGCGCACGTACTGGCACTTTTAGCAGGGTTGTGAGGGTTGTGGGCACGGTCACCCTGAAATATGACTGCCGCCCCCACTGGATCCCCCA